CTCACTTATCCAACCCTATTATTTCAGCCACGTTCGAACGATAGCCTTGATGAATTGGATGACTTCGTCGTGTATATGGCAAATGAAGCGTGAACTGAAAGGCTAGGAAGCACTAGACAGTTGTTTCGACCTGCTGATGAGACCCAACCAGATCGAAACAGCTGCCCAGTGCTTCCTGGCTTTTCAGTTCACACTTCATTTGCTTTTTACACGACGAATTCACCTTTGAAATTGAATCAAATCCGTTACTCACATGAGAATTGGNNNTGACTGACATCGAGATAGGTTTTACTTTTCTGGCACCAGTTGCTCATTTAGCGCTGTTTTTTGTTGGAGGCATGTAAGGTGAGGATCATCTTAAGTGATACTCACAATCGGAGGCAGTCACCAAGGAGACCATGTGAGTCATCGTCTCTGTTCCATCCTGTTTGGTATGTGATCGAAGTGCAACAATAGGATAGAGGCGGAATCAATGCACAGTTGTGTAAGGCAAGATGCGTCGTTCGGGGGAATACGGTTTTCCTTCTTCTTCTGCCATAACCTCCGATGGATTGGGACACGTTTGTCCACCACTAAACTGTCCTACATTCTGTAATACTATTCATGATATCAGCGAAGATGGCATTTCGGCATGATGCATCTGAGCAACGACTATTCCTGTGTATTAGGTAAAGGATCCTGAATGAGATATATCAGGGAAGGTTTCATGTCGAATGCGTACGAGTACTTCTGAGACTCAAGTTTCAGGCAGTAAAGCTCGAACTGCACTTATATTGTCATTAGTATTATTGTCATAGACGCCATATGTAGTTTAGGGCAATCACGTCCGTTGTGAATAGAAAAACCATCTGCCTGGTGTTAGATTCAAAACCGCAATTACTTAAGTGTTTTAATCGGCATATAGTTCGATTCAAGTCCCAGCTGCTGTACAGCGCAGTACCAGGTTACGGAACTTGGCTTGACATCTCTCTTGGCCACAACTCAGATCTGAATCTGAATTGAGCGTAATCGGGAAAAAAACCTACGAATAAGCACTACACACAGGTACAAGTGTTCAATGCTAGCTAAGAAATTACTTTATTACAACCCACGGTCAAATGCTCGTAGAATCAATCAATCAACAGCAACAGTTCACACTTACTCTCTTAATCCCATCCAATCGTTGCAAAGGTGTAGATGCCGGAGAGACTCGCGATTCCGACTCACTGTGCAAACTGTTTTGAGAACCGAGTTGCTGTTCCACATGGTACGGATTCTTGTTGGTCGTAGACGGCGACCAGTGCAATAACGATGTTGTTGGTTGTATCGAAATGGCAAAAGGTGTATTCCTTTCCGTCAACACGGATGAAGAATTGCGAAAATACGGAGTAGATGTTTGGAACATGTTGGCTTCACTAGGTGCCACGTACCGAATGTAAGGACACTGCGCGTCAAATGCCGTGGTTTTTACCCATCANCCCATCAAGCAGCTGTCAACTTTCGAGTCTAAAGGGGGTAGGCTAGTGAATGCTCGTGCAATCTGATTGGCCCATGGTCAGCACACTTCGGGCACACGGCGGGCAGACGGCAGGTTGCACGCGTCCCAGATTGTGATTGGATCTCGTAAACTATCCTTGACATGGTCCAACTCGCAGTGACCAATGAGAGTCTAGCGGACAGAACAAGACTGGACTGCGCACTGGGCACGCGACTGACATGTGCCCCCTCGCACTAGCCGGGATCAGACGCTGAGGCCGTTGGGACGCTTGTCCATTTGACTGTAGTGTATCTCTGTNTAAAGTTTGACGTAACTGGTGCCCCAATGAATAATAGCTGTTATGAGTTACCCACAGCCATAAGTAGCATCCCATTTACTCTACGAAAAAGCAGCATACGCTTTGAGCGAAAGCAACGGTGCACTGGATTGCCTTGAGCAAGTAGGTACACTACACTGTTCAACCAAGGTGAATACAGAGTGGAAAGGATTAGATACAATGGAAGGCAAAAATACTGTCTTCCCGACCAAGGTTCTTTCGGGTAAAACAACAAAATGTCCGGCAGAAAAGCACCGGTGTAGACACGACATATTCTAGTTGCCACTTCACCACGTTTGAAAGGCCGGTCCGTATAGATGCTATTATTGCTATTCTGGCGTGCGCATTTAATTCTGAGACCCCTCGCAATCCAACCTCATCTAATAGAACCCTGCCATTGCTCTGCCCACTCTTAAGCAATACCAAATAGTGTCCAGACCGATTGAAATATTCTGACTGGAGCAAAATTTCGATCGACAATCAAAATCCATATACACACTGGTGTGATAAACCGTAATTAATGGGAGCTCAGAATGACACAAACTGCAGTTGTTTGATTATAGGGGCCGATTATCTAAACTACAGGACTTGTGATAGACACTGAATAAGGCCTCAAAACTAACGATGCAGGAAACCAACAACGGGGAAATTTTCCTTTATCAATTTTGGGTAACAATGACTGGAATTCGGACGTTGAGGACTCATTTAAACCAATTATGTATACCACTTGAACATTAGCGCCACTAAATTGACATGTCTTGATGACATTTTCATGAGCGATAGTAAAATAAATGGAATGCTACTTTGTGAGACATTGATAATTCAAGAAACTTCGATTCAGTAGGTTCGTTGGAGAGATCCTAAAATCGAATTTCAAACTGCAATTACTCTTATAGAGGATGGAGTAGTCACTATCTTGTTCCAGTTTGGTGGTATTTTCGGAGCTAGATAGTAAGATAAAAGTGTAATCAATCTCACCAATCTTTAAGGGTCTTTGATCACTTCCGAAAATCGTTTGACACCGGGTAGAAAAATCGACTAGGCCAACAAGACTGAAGGCATATTGTAGCCCGTTTTAATGAGTGTCAATGAGGGGCAGCTGTTTGAATTCAAACGAATTTGCAACACAATCGATAATGATACTAATATTTGTAAGAATATCAATAATCTTGCACTCATTTTTATTCCATTTATCACCAATGTATATTATTTTCCGCTAATGACTGAGGACTAACTGAAGGATTCCCGAAGGTCCTGATCAAGAGGAGAGCTTGAGTGATAGTAATAGGGAATCGAATATCTAACTAATGAACGAGTTGCCAGTGACCGTATCACTATAGCTCAATTTCCACCATTTAGTGCACTTTTAAACCCAGGTTAGTCTTCGGTTCACGATGTACGACATTAGATCCTTTATTTGTCAGGAGAAAATTTATTGTTAAGTTGAATGATTACTGTATTCATAATTATTTCCATGGCCATTTGTGACAGAGATTCTACCTTCGAATCACAGTATTGTAATTATCATGACCGAAGATTCCTAGATAATTGTACCTATTCTGCCAAGATTTATTCCAGATAGATGTGCAAGATAATCAGGTGGAAGTCGAATCTGAGCATTGGTGTTTGTTTAGTCAGTCACGTGATCCACTTTGGCTACTTTCTTTGATCATCTCGGCATATCAGCATCAGCAATTGTGTGTGTGTATGTGATTTGGTCACGTAGAAACGCTGAGTATCTTAACAATACGCATTATTCTCCCACCATAATGAGCCAACCCAAACGTTAGCATTGCAGATCGCTTGATATCTTGTTGATATTTATGCTAAATTAAACTGTCACCACTCGATGATTGACCTCTGAGACGAACTGCGCCACATATGAGCATGTAAAGAATCGGTATCATCGTACAATCGCCAGTGATAGGTTAGCACGAATCACAGGAATCCCAATCACGGATATATGTGCACTTGAATTAAGCTAATAGACCAGTTCCGAGATAACATATGTCGGAGTTGTGCAATCTGTCATCCAGCGATCGGTTATTGGACACTCATATTAGATCAAACAGCTTTCATTTGTCATGATCCATTTGGTCTGTGAGCCTCACATTCTTCTTACCCGATCCGAGGTCTCTCCACCGTCCTCCTCCGCCCCGCCTTCTAGCCAGCTCAACTGGGAACGAACCGATGGAACAAACTTGTCCGATCCAAGTAACATGAGCACCTCGACAACGGAGTGTTTTCGGATGATGTAGTCATTAGAATTCCACTCCGCTCATGTTTTCCCACGCCTCGTTGGGTGCCAGACCAGACCGTGGGCTCAGCAAAACGCCGCTCTCGAAGGCGTGGGAATTTTTTCCACAACAAACTCGGTATCCACCTGGATGCAGAACACTCTGTCCTTGTACCAGATTCAAAGATTGCGTGTCTGTGATCCGTGCATACACAAGGTACGCTTAGACGTCAAGCGAACTATTGCAGCTGTGCTTGCAATTGTACAAAAGGAATGAATAGTGTAGCCTATGTCTAGGGCCGGGTTATGGGTGCAAATGCGCGTTGGATTATTTCTGAATTTTCCCGAAGCACGAACGGTTTAGATTGAAGCAGTAAGATGGCTAATCCCTTTCCGAGAGACACCAAACGGTTAGGAACACTGAGTACTTCGAATTTGCGTAATAATTAGTCCGTTGAAAACTCATGTGAACAATTCAAATACAGAATCTAAGGTTAACTGGAAGGGGGATTGAAAATTTTCTGGAGTTTAGAACAATCACAGCAGCGGACACAATGATCCTCGTTTACCGTGGACCTCAGCTTCTTATAACGACAGTTTGAAACCCAGCGAAGGAACTCGACATAAAAACTGCATATTTTCTTATCATAACACAATTCATAGGTTATCTCTAACGTCTTTTTCCTTGAATTGGTTTATCCCTCTACACATTGTCCATTCTCAATGAATATAATTGTATTTCGTGTGTTCAGTAGTTGTGTTTTCTCCCTTCATCCTGCCGAAATTACTCCTACACACACACAGATCATTCATGTGTGGACTGACGGTCCAAGTGTAGGCTCTCCGCATTAGCCAGACAGTCACTACCGTCCTTTAGTGAGACATGAACATGACGTAGTTCTGAGCATCGTAGTGACGTTTGAAACATCCACGTAATTTACCAAAAGGATGTGTGGAGCAAACTCCAACTGGAATTCATTCGTCCGCTTTATGAAAGTTCAACCATTAACCAGTGGAATCAGTTTCGGTTTACACTACAACTAACATTGCATCGTCATGCGTTGCTTTTCGCTGCTGTCATTCACATTTGGTTTATCGATGAAGATAATAGAAAAGTCTGTGAGCAGTACTATCATGAAAAGAACCGAATACGGGTAAAATAACGATGAACGAGTGACACAGCCTCATCGTCCAGTGACTGTGATCACGCTGGTCCGTGAATTCCGATTGGCAACCTCAATCAACCCATATAACTAAGTATCGTGGTCAAGATTTTCATACAGGCAGATTTAAACACGAGAGTCATGGTAGGTCTTCACATACACACACACACACACACAACGTATTAAGGTGAAATACCGATTTCGAGATAAAGAGAACATTTTCACTGGACACACTGTGGTGACAGTGAGAAGATGAAGCATCACTACATACAAGCGCATTTTAAATCAATTCCCTGGCCCAATCCAATGTTGCAGTTCTGTAATTGAAGTGTTCCAGTTGTACGAGGCACAGAATTTCGAAGTGGACTTAATCAGTCGTCCATGCGTTCCAGAATAAAATAGTGTCCCCGGGACCAAATAACGCGAGATCGCAGCATAGGTTACAAGTCGTTCAAAGAATAGAGGATTTGCGATTGAGATTTTATTGATCCCCTTATTCCGACAGATACAAACCTCGTACACACCCATGTCTAATTAGCCTTATTTTACTGTCCATATTTTGTTGCTCCGTTGAGATTTTGTGTGCAACGAGTCACTCGCGCTCACGCGAGTCACATCAAAGCGGTGGAAACAAAGCTGAGAATGAAGGAGGATGCTAAGTTCATATGTGCTGTTCACCTTGCATCCAATGGCATTACCTCAGAGGGGAGAGGTTCGAACAAAACAGAGTGTTACAACTGTATCAATCCGTGGACGACCCGGTAACAGACACACTCAGATTTGCATTGGGCTTGGTTCCAACAGCCATGCGCTATAGATACCCAACTCTTACTCAACTTGTTGTTGTCTTCCTTACATTGTGCTCGAGTGGTTCGCTCAACATGTTCTTTACCCTTCTGCCCCGGTAACTGAATGTGCATGTGCATCGATCAAAACGCTGTTCGGTACGAGCCGGACGTTCAGTCCGGCATGTCGACATGACCCCAAGAGTAGGCTGATCTTTAAAGTACAGTGAATACACTGTACATTGCAAGAATCGGTCTGACCTCGCCGGATGAGTATCACTCGAAGTATCTGGATGCACCATTATCACAAACACCACCACATCATCACATCAACATAAACAAGAAGCGCAAGACATGCAGTCCGCATTCCGAAACACATTTCACAACGAAATTATGACTAATACTGAGGTCACGCGACCTCGTTCAAATGCACTGCTGTATCAGCCAGCATTAAAACACCGGTGCCCGAATCATCACGCAGAAAAGCCCTGCTTTACCGGATCATTCGGCAATTGGTGTAGTGGGACAGGAGTCAATGCTCATAGTTGTAAGTTAAGTTATGACACAACGAGACCAATAACTGCACAGCCATTGGCGCTTTTACGGTTGAACAAAATCTCAGTAATCTTGTTTGGCGCATGTAGTATCATTCGCTTACCCGTTGCAGTTAGAGATCAAACACATTGACGCAGAGAAGCACAGAAGCAAAGAAACGTAGAATTGTGAAAATATTGCCCGCAAAATAGGAAGGGAAACCTAAGAATCACAGAGATAACCATGAAAACAATTTTAAACCGCTGTAGTACACACTATAGAAGGAGTCGTCGAATATTTATCGATGATCGGGTGCGACATGCAGTCGTCAAATTCACTTATGTTACGAACTGTTACGAACCTCGAGTGAGCTGATCAATCGGTTCAAAAGAACAAGGGTTCATTTGGTTTGTGGAGTGTGAGAACGTGAATTGTGCAAATTGGTTGCCTGATCCCCGAGTAGGGGAGCACATATCACACACACAAGACACACACACACAGATTTAACCACAACTGGGATTATCGTAGTGGAAAATGCAGAAAAACAGCTTGAAATGAATAACCGGGAGTAATTGTTCCGTTTCATGTCTCACTCGACTATAAGCTTTCAGTCATCAGACTACATGGGGTAAGTTGGATTTTTCATACTGAAACTGTCAACGTTTTGCACATTGTCACCGCCCTTCTGTAATTTAACAAACTTATCTTCATGTGTTGAACTCGTCGTGGAAATGAGGCATGCAATGAAATGCTGGGAAGAACTGGAGAGCTGTTTTGACCTGGTTGGGCCTCATCAACAGTGCGAATCCATCGACCCAACTGGAAATAGAACCCGGAACCTCACAGGTAGAAGGCAAGCATGCTACTCACTCGGCCACCGGGTAGCTGACCAGGCCTTTTCTCATTTTGAATTTCGATTCTCAGTTGGGTTGATGGATTCGCACTGTTGATGAGACCTAACCAGGTCGAAACAACTGTACAGCGTACTTCTCAACTTTTCAGTTCACGCCTCATTTACACGACGAATTCATCATATAAACAAATCAGATCCTC